AAAAAAAAAAAAAAAAAAAAAAAAAAAAAAAAAAAAAAAAAAGGAAAACAAGATTAGCCGAAATATTCTCTGAACCAAATATAAATAGGCGTTGTATAATCTCGGATTCCTCTGTTCTTCTATGCCCGCGGTTGACTCTCTATTCTAGAGAGAGTTTCTCTGGCTGCCAATCTCTATCAGTTTCATAAATTTTATCAGCCACTTCCAACTTCAACAAATGACTCATATCCTTCTCAATCTTCAATTCCTCGTTTTCTGATGCTGTTTTCTTGTTTTTTGAGTTCGGATCTCTACGAATTGAGGAGTTTTAGGTGTTTCAATTAATTGATTTTGGAGATTTTTCTTCTTTCAAGTTTGTTTGCCTTGACTCAGATCTCTACGCGGAAATCAGAGGGAGAAGGACCGAGAGAGGGCTCAGGCTCGTAACTCTGGCAAGGGCAAATCCAAGGATGATGGTTTGACCCACGAGCAGCGCCGTGAAAGGTTCGTTTATCTTATTGCTTCCAGTTTCATTATTATGTGTTTATTTGATTGATTGATTGATTTTTCTTCTTCTTATGGTTAGGGATGCGAAGGCTCTACAGGAGAAGGCGGCGAAGAAGGCGGCTCAGGCATCAGGGGGAGATAATTCGTCCGGAGGTAAAAGTAGCAATAAAAAGTAAATCGCCGTGAACTATGTCGATTTTTAACTTTTTTCTTGTTGGAACGCTGAGATCTCGTGGATTTCTTAAGACTGTTTGATATTGGAGAAACAATCTCTGTATGTCTAAATGATGTGAATGGATATGTATTATGCTGTCAACGTTAATTGGAGAAAGCTCTCTTGATATGTTGTGTTGAGCTGATTATGTTGTTAATGATTGATTTCCTGGAGATTGGATCTAGACGAGAAGTTTCTCAATTATGTTCTGATCAATCACAGATCTTCATGAACAAAATAAATGAAATCGTATGGTTCTATCATTTGACTTCTTTAGTTACAATTTTCATTAAAATGATAAATCCTTTTGTTACTATGCATTAACACAAGACAAAATTATAAAAGGAGGTTTCAATTGCAATAATTCAGTTGTTGACGCCTAGAGAGAGACATTGAAATGGGCCAGATCCCACGTCTCTCCCCTCTTGTTCCTTTCCAACTGTGTCCAGAATATAGCCGACAAAATAACTAGCCATTTTACCACACTTCAGGTTCTAAATCCTATGCTTATACTTACTGACCAAAATCCTATGCCACAATGTTTCAGCCTCTAAAGGGGTACCTTCACAATTCATTGGTCGAAACGTACAGAATTCTTGTGTGATAAAATTCCTATGCTCAACTTGCAACTCACATCTTTTTGGAAATGACCTCCCACTAAATCAAATGAGAACCACCCCATTCATCTTCAGGTACTCTTCGCCAACAAAAATCCTCTCATAATATGCTCTAATTTGTGGAAAACTGAGGATCAAATCCTAAAGAAATGAATAAACTAAATTAGAATCCCATCAAAGAAACATTGGATCAAAAAGAGTGCCCCTGTAACAAAAAACCTAGAAAAAAATGTCTTGTCTGAGTAAATAAATGTTGTTCAACCCATTGAATGTTGGAACAAATAAGATGTCAGTCCTCAGATTGTGACTGAATGGAGGGCCTAGATATAGACTTAGGCAGGCAAGAGATCTCACACTCTACCAAATAAGCCCAACTGGCTAGTTTTCCTTGACCACATACTTTCCCAACTACATTACAGTTTTGTGTGTTGGTTTAAAAACCTGAAATGAATTCAAAGACCTGTAAGATATGTTTGAGATCAAAAAAGGCAATCCTCCATTAAGCTGAAGAAGATAGCCTCATTAGCAATGTGAAGATGGGTAGCATGAACACTTTCTTTTCCTCCATAGAATATCTTCTACGTCTTATACCCTAGGAAACAATCTTGCCAAGGACAAATATTAACAACCAAAAGGTGAAGGAATGGATATAAAGGATCCTAAACCTAATGTTCCTGGAAGCAAACTTCGCCTTTAGGTTTACCAAGGACAAGAAAAGAGAAATTCATCAATCTTTAATCAATTCCTTACATAGATTATCCACTTGGAACCAAAACCCTTTTTCCTCAATCTTATGAAAAAAAACTTAGGGAATGGTGCTAGGCAAGAACATCCACGATTACTTCAATAAGCAATCTAGTTACATTTACAATGATATTCATCTAAAGATGTACATAACAGCATTAACAGATACTAACCTTCTGGTGTTCTGTTTGAAAGTCATACTTTATCTCCCTGTCTCCATTCATCTTGGAATTGTTTTGCAATAATTTTTCCTCACGAATCTTTCCTCTCACTCTTTGTCTATATCCTTGTTTTTCAAACACCATTATGAAGGAAAGGAATGTAGAATTAGAGTCCTACCTTTACTTTCAGCTTCAGATGTGCCAGGAAAGTTTTTTTCCTCACGGATCTTTCTTCTCATTCTTTGTCTATATCATTGTTTTTCAAACACCATTATGAAGGAAAGGAATGTAGAATTAGAGTCCTACCCTTACTTTCAGCTTCTGATGTGCCGGGAAAGTTGCATGTAGCAAGTTTTGGCTAGTAGTAATCCAATTAAAAAGGGAATGGGAGGAGATAGCATTGTCTAATGAACGACGTATTAGTTTTCCCGACCGTAACGGTACCAAACAGTTAACAGTGTCAAGGTGGGTGAAATCATAGGCTACTAGTGTTTTCAATCCTATGTCAGTGTCTTCATTGCCAACACTGCTTAAATGCAATGTTTGGATAGTTATGCATCCATGTACGTTTTATGTGCTATTATGTAGCAACTTCTAGGATGTGCTTATGGGCTAAAGTTCTATTAGTCATCATTATTGGCAGTGGTTGGGTCAATTTAAACTGTTTTATTTTGGATTAGGGTCCTTTTTCTGTAGTTAGATTCAGACTTCTTTGTTCACACTTGTTTTTTGTATGCTCTTGACTCTTGAGCGTGGTTATCTAAAAAACTGTACCATCATGTGTCAAGCTTTAACAGACAGCCATGAAGTTAAGAAGTGAGTGTCTGGATAAAATATCTGCTTAGACTGAAGGAGATGCTTGTGGCAAGCCCTTAGAGAATATATTCCCGACATAGGAAAAGGGTAAGTCCTGAAATGAATTTAGGAAATATCGTTTGGTTTGTGGGAATTTGTGAGATATTGGTATGATTTTGTATAGAAATAGAGATATTGAGAAGAGAAAGGAACATGGAACAACCCATTGGGCGATGTGCCAGCGAGGAGGTAGAGTCTCGAAGGGGGGTGTACACAGGGCGGTGTGCTAGCAAGGACGCTGGGCCCCATAGGAGGGTGGATTGTGAGATCCCACATTGGTTGGAGAGGAGAATAAAACATTCTTATTCTTATTCTTTATAAAGGTGTGGAAAACTCTCACTAGTAGACAACTTCTAGAAACTTGAGTATTCCTAATCGCCACACCACCTTTGGTTCCCCATTGATTACCCTATTGGGTTGGTCGTGTTGGTGTTGGTGTTAGAGGGGCTCAGATTCATTTGTCAAATCAAACCAGTTAGAGTTCTATTAAATCAAGAAAGTTGTGTTAGCATGTCATAGTAATATATCATATTTTTGCTCTTGATACTTTAATTTTAATAGTCTTTTATATCTTACAAATTTCACTATATGCTCTTATCTATTTTATTTTTGTTATTTATGGAACGTCTTTTTCAATGACAGAGAAAAAAAAAATCATAGAAATCGAAGTCATATTATCATTGCATTTCAAAACAACATTAGTTCGAACCGTTTTGTCTTTTGCTTTTCCATCAAAAGAATGCTTTAAGATTGAGCTTACATTCTTATTTTTATTAACTTTACCAAAAATTTCAAGTTATTTATTGATATTATGTCATACGATAAATATAATCATATTGTTTTTGTAGCACGTAAACCATTATATGAATAAAAATAAGCATGTTCGAGGCACTTTTGGTTGAATTATTTTTTTTTTTTAATAAATGAATATTTAATCAACGAGAAGACAAAAGTTTAGGATATTAAGATTCAAATTTTAAAAATTTATTTATGGGAGTTGTTTAATAATTTATTTATGCATTAAAATTATATATATAAAAAAAAAAGGGGGAAAGAAATGAAATGATGATAATTTTGTCATTTTAGATGGAGAAAATGGTTGAAATATTAATAAATTAAGTTATCCTAGAATCTCTTGCTTACAACTCATACAAACACAACTAATCATTATATTATCATATATATATATATATATATAAATTTAAAATGGTTAGTCGTATTGCTGTTATCATAGTTTAAAACGAGAATTGTGACCTGACACCATGAGTTGGGACTACATATGAATAAGAGTGATTTTGAGAATAGAATGATTAAAAAATATTTAAAATAAATGAAAGTTACTACATATACTAATGACGTGCACCTTTCTTTTTTGTGGTTTAATCATCAAAACTTTATGGTTTTGGAGCAATTTTATGTCGAAGGGATTCTTAAGAATTTTTTTGAAATGCACGCGAATGAGAATAAAATATGTTGAAATGATTTGTGTTAGTCTATAAAGATATGCAAAAAATAGGTAACGTGACCTTGTTGCAGAAAATACTAGAACCATCATAAACTGTCCACATATTTATAGAAAAATATAAATTAATCACAACAAGATAACTTAAACAAATGCTTAACATTCATTTAATTAAATCCTCAACTGTTCTTCCCATTTTTTATTCTAATCCCTACCCCTCTTTCACCTTTTTAACTTTTAGCTCATAAATTATCATATTATATAAAAATATTCATTTTAAAACTTCATTCAAATACTTAACTCTTATATATATTCCGGACCCATATTCGAAAAAAAGTATTCACTGAACCAATATCGTGTAATTGTTTCTTCATAACTATTGAATGTGCGTAGTTAGTGGACACAAATTTAATGTGTATTTTCAGTATATCGACACAATTTTAAAATAAAATGAAACATGTTCATAAACATGTATAGTAAAGTCAAATAATTGTTACATGAGAAGTTGAAATGCCTGTAAACTGATTGAACACTCAAAGAAAGGATCGAAACCCTAATAAATTAAAATATACTTAGTTTGACGTTTGAACTCGCTCGGTTAAAAAAAAAAATGAGAACTTTGAATTCTTTCCACCTTGATATCCTTTGCTTGTTAGTTAGGTGGGAGTGGAAGTCATGATGGGTTTGGTTAGCTATAGGCTATTGGAATCCACGAGCTTTCATTTGTTTTCAAAGCAAAGGGATAAGCTTTTCTAATTTATCTTCAAATTCTTGGCCTTTTGCTGCTTTCTCAAGTCTAATTTCAATGGAATTTGCTATATATGTGTGTGTGTGTGTATATATATATATATATATATATATATATATATATATATATATATATATATATCACTTTGTACCTCTTCTTTGTCATGTTTTGAGGCTTACCCAGATGCTGTTTTGGGACATTTTGGAAGAAATAAGATTCTTTTTGAAAAAAGATTGTCACTTTAGATGTTTGAAAATGTTAAAAAGTTTGGTTTTTTGAGCTAAAAACGACAATATGAGTGTGTGGAAATGTTTTAATTTGGATTCATAGATAATGTAAAGATTCTAAAGATGGATTCTATTCCTTATGATAGCACTTACATCTCTTTTTACTCCTACTTTTGATCTTGTTTTTGTTTTGTGCTCTTCTTTTCTTGCCTTTAATTTGAAATGTTGTATGATTTTAACTTTCGTACAAATATTTATGCGCGGTTTCTCGATAGATTAGCCCTCGGGATTACTCAAATGTATATCGAAAAGATAATTGTTTGTGTAACGATGCATACCCATAATTTAGAATATGGGTTCTGTAGCTGATAGTCCCGACATTTTTCTGCATCCCTTGCTTCTAAGAGTGAAGACTATTCTCACAGACCAACACAAGTTCTTTCAGTATGCTTTATCCTTACTCATATGTTTCTTGCATAAGCACGGGGTCTCGAAGAGGGTGGATTGTGAGATTCTACATCAGTTGGAGAGGGGAACGAAGTATTTTTTTTTTGTAAGGGTATGGAAACCTCTCCTTAGCATTCGCGTTTTAAAACCGTGAGGATGACAACGATACATAAAAAGCAAAAGAAGACAATATTTGCTAGCGGTGGGCTTGGACTGTTACACAATTGCTCAAAGAAAAACACGCTTAACCTTGTCGTTTCTATAATTGAGCCACCTAAAGGAAGGTCCCCTTATTGGTATGATTAATAACTTTGCATTCTTTTAAATCTTTTTTAGTCCTCATATCCCAACGATCGCTCTCATTCAGATGTGGTCTCGATTCATTTATGTACATCTCTTTTACTCAAATGTCACGGTATGAATCTTTAGCTACTGCCTCGCCTCAAGAATTATAGGTTATGTTGACATTATTCTAATAGCTTAAGGAACAAAACCAAGCCATCTTTTTTATGAAACATGGTCCAAAATGGTCCATTTTGGAAAGCTCTCAACGTCCTTAATTGGAACCCATGATACTCTTTATTAATTGTCGTCCTCTCCTAACTACCAACCTAATCATAGCGGATATCTCTTATATATTAATGGAAATAATTAAGTTAGTTCCAACTGGATCTAGTTGAGTTAGATTTAGATAATGTTAACTAAAACGATCTAGTTGTTCTTGACAAAGACGGGTAGTTTTAAAGCGTGTCGTTTTCCTATTATTTAATCCGACCTTAATCAGGTTCGTTGTAGGAGTGGTCCATGAAAACGTTGAAGGAATAAAAGAATAAGGGCAAAAGCAAAAGCAATGGAAGAAGATGGCCATGTGTTTTTGGCTTCAAATGTTGTATTATATTACACAAGAGAGGTAGCTTAGCTTGATGCATGTGCTAACTCAATTATATATTCATATTATTCTAAGATCATCAAGTTCTTCCAAATGGGTTCTCTCTTTTTTCTTTCAAATTCTTTCATTCTCATTTAGTAAGCTTAAAATGGCATTGATGAAAGCCAATAAGTTAGCTTAAAAGGGCTCAAAATGGGACACTTCTAATCATTTCAAGCTTAAATTTTGGAGCTTTGAGTGCCCCCAAAACCCATCTCAAAAGACACCCCAAATGAAGTTAACCCAATAAGTTCTTAGTTCTCCCATTTCTTTATTCACAAGACCCTCCAATCATTTCCTCATAATAATGTTTCCAGAATGAGTGTTGAAGTTGTATCTGTTGCTTAAGTGTGAGATTCCGCACGGTTAGAGAGGAGAACGAAACATCCGTTTATAAGAGTATGAAAACCACTCTCTGTGTTAAAAAAACCTTGAAGGAAAACTGAAAGGGAAAAACCCAAAGAGATAATATATGCTAACGGTGGATTTTGGACTGTTATAAATGGTGTAAGAGCCAGACAGTGGGCGATGTGCCAGAGAGGAATGAGTCCCAAAGGAGGTGGACATGAGACGGTGTGCAAGCAAGGACGTCGGACCCCGAAGAGGGTGGATTGGGAGGTCCCATACGATTAGAGAAGGGAACGAGGTACCATTAATCTACCCCCCACCCAAAAAAAAAAGCAAGAAAAGTGAGAAACTTTCACACATGGGTAAGTGACTAAAGAGCAAAACTCTAAGTTCTTTCATAAAAGCTCAACCTTTGAGGTTCTTTTAGTTACTTTCATGGAGGATATCCATCCAACCCTAACTGACACGTTAGCAAAACAGAGCTGAGCTGTCACTCTCTGATTGGACAACCATAAGATCAAGAAAAAACAGGGCTTAGCTGTCAATCTCTGATTGGACAACCATAAGATCAAGAAAAAACAGGGCTTAGCTGTCAATCTCTGATTGGACAACCATAAGAACAAGAAGCAACAGAGAAATGGGTTGCACGAAAGGAGTTAGTGGAAGCAAATGGAATGAGATTATTCTTTTGATGAAAACCCCAAAGAAAATACAAATCTGAGTCGGATGATAACTTTATTATGAACAAAAAGTTGATACCCTTCGCAGTTTCTGTGTATCTCTGTTTCTCTCTCTGTTTTCTTGTTTATATGTATAAGGCATAATTAATGCCTTCAGTTTGCTGTATTTCCCCTTCTTTTTCTTTTTCTTTCCCTCTTCTTTGCTTGTTTCAACAATGGCGGATCAATTCCCTTTGATTGAAGAACTCAAAAACATCATTCCTAAGGGTATTTCATCATCTTCTTCGTCTTCTTTTGAAGAATTCGTCTCTGGATATTACTTTCATGGCGATCCAATTCTCTGGAGCTCCATAGCTCGAGCTTCGTGCTCTGAAAATGGTGATTCTACTGGTAATGATCAATCGAAATCCCCATCTTCTTCTTCTTCTTCTTCGTCGTCTTTTCGACTGTTTTCGAGCGAAAAATCTGAGATTTCTGGTGGGAATTTGATCGAAAACTTTCGAGGAATTCGAAAGTTTGAAAGTAATCTTCACCCAGATGGAGATGGGTTTGTTCCTGTGAATTTCTTGGAGGCTTCTCCGACTCTGTTTCAAGCTCGAACAGATTCAACAAATTTGACTCTGTTTCTTCAAGAATCCGCCATTGTTGATCCGTCCCCTCGAAACCCATTTCAAATTCAAGCTCAAAATGGGCTCCAATGGCTGAAAAACAATCATAATCAGAGCCAAGCAGCCGCCATTGCTGCTGTGTCGTCGAGAAATTACAGCGATTTCTGGCTGGGAGCGACGAAGACGCAGCCGATGAAACAGAGTGGGAGAAAACAGGGAAATCACAAAACAGAGTCAACGGCGACGGCGGTTGGGAAGTTGTTTAGAGGTGTCCGGCAGCGGCACTGGGGGAAATGGGTGGCGGAGATTCGACTTCCAAGAAACCGGACGAGAGTCTGGCTCGGGACATTCGACACCGCCGTCGAAGCCGCCATCGCTTATGACACCGCCGCCTATATGCTGAGAGGGGAATTTGCACATTTAAATTTCCCCGACCAAAAACACCGCCTGAAATCCAACTCTCTCAACCGAACCACGGCGGCGCTGCTGGAAGCGAAGCTGAAAACGATCAGTCAAGAGAACACCAGTAGAAAAAAGACTGCCACCTCTACCATCGCCGCAACTACCACCATACCCACCATTGATTCATCTTCTTCAGAGAAGAGATCGAACTTGAGCCAGAATCCGATGTGGATTTCGCCGGAAAACATGTCGGGGATCGGCGGCAACAATGGCGGATCTGAAACAGGGGAGTTGAAGAGAAACCCAGATGAAATATTTGAAATTGAACAACATCTTCAACTCAGCACAACGCCATCTTTGGACATGGATACGATTTGGGATGCTCTGTTAGTTTCTGATTCATAAATTTCTATATCCCTTTTGGTTTTCTATTATTTCTTTCACTGTTCTTCTCTACTCTACAGGAACCGTATGCAATCATCTTCTTTCTGTTCTTCCATTTTTTTTAATTCTTAATGATTTATTTGGAGAACTTTTTTTTCCTATAAATTTTGGAAACTCCATTGTAGAACGAAACATTTTTTTTTATAAAGGTGTGGAAACGTATCTTAGCAGACGCGTTTTACAAACCTTGAGTGGCAGCAAGGAAGCTGAGCCTCAAAGGAGTGGACACAAGGTAATGTGCCAGCAAGGAGACTGAGCCCTGAAGAAGTGGACACAAAACAATATACCAATGAAGAGACTGAATTCCGAAGGGGAGTGGACACGAAGCGATGTGCTAGCAAGGACGCTAGGCCCCGAAGAGAACGAATCATTTTTATCCTTTGAATCACTCTCATTCAGATGTAGCCTATGTATTCATGTACCCTCCTTTGCTCGAGTATCGCAGTCTACATTTTCAATTGATACACTAATTAACTTAAAATTCAAACTATATAAAACACGTATGCCTCGATACATTAGAGTGACTTAAAAGCTGAGCTATTTATTCGACCTAAAATACACGAACCCATTAATTCGAATTGAATCAAATCGACACAATTTAGGTTTGTCTATGCAATCAAATACAAGATCTTCGAGAAGGGATAGGTGTTAGGGAGGGGATGGGTTTCCCATTGCATATTTCTTGGTCCATTCTCTAGCAATCTTGGTGTAATTGAGCCAATTATTGAGGAACATTCTTGAAGCTTCATTAATGGAGCCTTCATCAGGTTCTGGGTTTGATAGAATTGAGCATATGGAAAGCATTAGTGTTTCAATGGTCAATGCTGGAGACCAATTGTCCATCAATATATCGATCAAAATGGTTCCATCTTCTTCTACGTTTGGATGGAAGATCTATTCAATCAAACACATACAGAATTGTTCAAATCTTCGGAATGAAAAATGACATAAATTTTGAGCTGAATTTAAGTTTGGAATGACGGATTGCTTTCATATAAGAAACACCCAAATTCCCGACCTGAAGTGATCGGAATCTTTTGAGTGGGAAGAGTCAAGTTTGAATGTTGCTATTACACTAGTAAGAATAAGACATCAAAAGAATTTATTCGTTATGTTTTCAACTTCAAAAAGTCACTCACGAAATAGGTCTTCAATTGATGGTATAATCTTAGAAGTCTAGCTCGAGATTTTTTTATCCCCGAACACCAATGTCATATCGAGAATTCTAATAGATTAATTATTTTAAAGATTTAATTAAAATTATAAGAATTTAGATAAAATTATGGAAAATTTCAGAAAATATAACAAAAATAAGAAATGTAAAATGACGAGAATAGACATAACTAACCTTGGTAAGAAACTTGATCAAGGGAGGGCTCAAGGGGTAGTTGGAGGGAAATTGAATGGAAAGGTGAAAAATACCGCCATCATAGCAAGAAAAGGCCGGCCCAATCACAACCCCTTCCCACCGAAAAATATCCGCTCCGACCGGCCCGAAGCTGCAGTGCGTCGCCGCCACCTCGTTCATCGCTCTCAACTCGTTCTCAATCCGATACATCGAACTTGTTTTTTCTTCATTTCCACTCCCGTCCCCGCCATCTCCTTCGCTATTTGTACCAGCACGTGGCGGCGAAGCCTCTGGCTGTTTAAAGCCTTCGTCGGCGGTCGGAATCGGCATTTTCTGCGCAGGCTTAGGCTGGCCGAAGTCGCCGTGGATGTTCGGAACACGAGGCGGTGAATCCTCTGGCTGTTTAAACACTTCGTCGACGATCGGAATCGGCAGTTGCTGTGCAGGATTTGGATGGCCGTAGTCGCCGTGGATGATCGGAAGAGGAGGCGGCGAAGCCTCTGGCTGCTTAAAGCCTTCGTCGACGAACGGAATCGGGAGTTGCTGCGCAGGCTTTGGCTGGGCGTAGTCGCCGTGGATGATCGGAAGAGGAGGCGGCGGTGGAGTGTGAAGGCGGGTGTAGACGGTGGAGGAGGAGGATTTTGTAGAGAAGCAACAGCAGAGACGGAAAAGAACCATTGGCAGAGATAGATAGATTCGATCGGAATTGCGAAGGGAGGAATTGAGAAGAAGACCGAAAGGCTTAAAGAGAGAAAAGAAGGGTAGAAATAAACGTTGACTTGACTTGACTTCGAATTGGAAAATTCTGCAAAACGGTCCCACAGTTAAGGGTGACGTGGTTTACTTTGATTGGCTTTCACTTTTCATTGCATTTTATTACTAATATAATTTTTTTTATTTTAAAGATTTTTTTAAAAATTAATGTATCTTAGTCATTGAACATGTTTTATTTTACACGGGATATATGTATCAAATTCATTAAATCTGAACGTTTCTCATAATAATCTTGAAAATTATTAATCAATCTCATCGATTATAAATCATATGAGAGTCACCTATTTTCAGGCTCGAAACTACTATTGTGCTTATTTGGTCTATCAGCTACCTAAATAAATGATGATAATTGGTTAAATAATGATATGTCATGACCTAGATTTTTATATGATTTATCAACTACCTAATTAAATAAATAAATGATGATAATTGATGTATGCATGAAAAACTCAAAAAAACAACACAAAAATCATTTATTTCCTAAGAACAACATTAAAGATACATGCTTTTCTCCGTGACAACCCACGTCTTTCAAACACGCCCCCTCTCGAACTGTAGAATCACGCACCAAATAACGAAAATGTAGTAAGGATGAGTAGTTATACTCATTAGGTAACCTACTTGTAGGCTCTCAACGCATTCTAGGCTTAATAGATTCCCCTGGGCTCCTCATTGGCTGTAGGACTTTGGTTCTAATCTTATCCCTTTAGGGCTATTCTAGTTCTCCGTCCTTTCATTTCATTTGAAATCTTAAGAATTCCTTATGTCGAGCTGTGAATGAATGGTGTCCCTCTACGAGGCACTACCTCATACATGGCTCTACGAGGCTATATAGTGTCTTACTTGGGGGTGAGCTGAAACCTCCTAGGTATTAAAGCCAATCACTCTCATTGGGGGGCGCGACCCCTCCCGACCCCCATCTAGCTAATGGGTTTTATGTCGAGCTGTGAATGAATGGTGTCCGTCTACGAGGCACTACCTCATACATGGCTCTATGAGGCTATATAGTGTCTTACCCGAGGGTGAGCTGAAACCTCCTAGGTATTAAAGCCAATCACTCTCATTGGGGGGCGTGACCCCTCCCGACCCCCCATCTAGCTAATGGGTTGTACGACGTGGGCTATGGTGGTCTAGTAGGCTCTCTGGGGAAAGAAAATAAACATACATGCTCAACGCAATAACATCCGTCAAACACTCAGAGTATAGGCAAATAACATTCATCAAGCACCCAGAACACAGATCATAAATTCTCATCCTTATTTCAATATGAAATAAACATTCATACAGTGAAAAACAATAAGCATACTAACATTATATACGTCATGCTTCCACACCTAAGTTCATCGGTAAATATTCTAGCATGCATGCATCCCAAACAAATCCTACCTAAATTCAGTGTGGTAACTTACATGATTGACACATGCCCGTGCCCTTCGTTCAGGATAGGGAGGTTAACTAGTAGGAAACAAAGTAGGGAATGAAGGATCCAGTTGAAATGTTGAACAAAAGGCAACCAAAATTTCTTCCCAAAACAAAAGAGATTCTTTACAAGTAATGGAAGGTTAGAAGAAATGAATGGTGGTAAGCTAGAGACAATGAATGGAATGGTGGTAAGCTAGCTACTATCTTAATCTTCTATAATGGCTGTTGCTGTTGGCTCTGCTTCTTCCTTTGCTGCCTCCATCATTATCAACGAATCCCCGACAAAAACTTCCTTATATTCTATAATGTCTGTGTTCTTGTTGCTTCTGTTCCTTCATTTGTCGCCTCCATCATTACCACCGAATCCCCGGCAAAAACGCCCTTATCTTCTACAATGGCTGCGGTTGTTGGTTCTGGTTCTTCATTTGCCACCTCCATCATTACCACCGAATCCCCGGCGAAAACTTCCTTATCTTCTATAATGGCTGCTGTTGTTGGTTCTGGTTCTTCATTTCCCGCCTCCACCATTACCATCGAATCTCCGGCGAAAACTTCCTTATCTTCTATAATGGTTGTAGCTGTTGGTTGTGGTTTTTCATTTGCAGCCTCCACCATTACCATCGAATCCCCGGCAAAAACTTCCTTATCTTCTATAATGGTTGTAGCTGTTGGTTGTGGTTCTTCATTTGCAGCCTCCACCATTACCATCGTATCCCCGGCGAAAACTTCCTTATCTTCTATAATGGTTGTAGCTGTTGGTTGTGGTTCTTCATTTGCAGCCACCACCATTACCATCGAATCCCCGGCGAAAACTTCCTTATCTTCTACAATGGCTGTTGCTGTTGGTTCTGGTTCTTCATTTGCCACATCCACCATTACCACTGAATGCCCGGCGAAAACTTCCTTATCTTCTACAATGGCTGTTGCTGTTGGTTCTGGTTCTTCATTTGCCACATCCACCATTACCACTGAATGCCCGGCAAAAACTTCCTTATCGTCCTTGACCGTGCTACTCTCTTGTATAATGGCTGTTGCTGTTGGTTCTGGTCTAGTCTCGCAGTGTTCCTCCTCAGCCAAGACGTTAACATCCACATTGCCAACTCCTTGAGGTGCTGCTGCACCTTCTTCTTCGTCGTCGTCCTCCTCCTCTTCCTCTTCTTCCTCCTCCTCCTTATCTTCAACATAAATTGTATCATTATACTGCATATGAGGAAGTTCGCCACCTTCAGTTTCTTCATTTTTGTCAGCAGCATAGACCATATTCAGGTCTGTCCCAGGAAGAAGCTGCTGTAATGGCACTGCATGACTGATGATTTGGCCTGTCCTCAGCTTCTCTCTGTAATTCTCCATCTCAATTCTGTATCGTTCTTTATCTTTCATAGCTTTCTCCTGATAAACCTGCAAGTAAAGAAAAACTATCAACACCGGCTGTGACAGATTACCAAATGTGACAGATTCTAAACTAAAGAGTTATTGCAAATCCTTACTGTTTTTTCAGACTCATTAAGTTTATTCCAAAGCTCACCAATCATTCTGCTTATCTCCCTGTCCTTCCCTGGGTGTAATGGTTTGAGTCTAGCATGCTGCTCGGCGAAGAAGAAATTGTAGCCACTTCTATTCGGCTTTGGATGAGCTGGATCCCTTCGTTTGATCTCGGATTTCTTCCTCCGGCGACGGCGCTGAGCATTTGGTGTAGTGGAGGTAGTACCATCTTTGGTGAAAACACTACCAGGCTGGAACACTTGTTGAGCAGGTTGCTCTGGAGGAGTCATATAAAGCACACCTTTTAGCTTCTCATTTCCTACAGTAACAGTAACGAGATATCCGCTTTCAAATTTTCCATCAATGACTCCAACCACCGGAAACCCTCCCGCTGGTGGTACCGAACTCGGAGCAACTGTAAGTTGAAAAGAGCTATCCATTTATGAATCAGAGAAACTAAGTGTACTTATATGGGGCATATCATATGAACTCGTAAAGAAGACACCTGCTGGAAGTTCGGTTGCAGTGGTCTGTGGCTGCTGCTGGGGTGCTGGCCGATTGGATGGTGGCAACATAGAGGTCGCCATCCCTTGTGTCGGAATTGGCACTGCACTTGGGGTTGGAGAGGAATCTGAAAGATTGTTATGTTAGAATATGGCATGTTCTTCAGGAAAAAGAAAGGTGCTCTATTTTAACAAAGGGTACCAGAAACTTTTGGTGTCCATCCCACGGCTTTAAAGAAGTAAATCTGTTCAAAATGATGAATTAATGAGAGATAATACTTCCTCAGCACAAAAGATGCATTGGTGGCTGTCGAAGGAAATTTGAAAACTGAAGTTACTTCTTTCCATCTTCTCTCTCTTATAACCTGCCAAATTTTCAACTGATGTTAACTAGAACGATTCAACTTTTATCCTTTCACCTATGGAGCTATGCATGAGATTCTGTGAGATGCCACGTCAATTGGAGGGAGAAACAAAGCTTTGGAGAGAGAAACAAAGCTTTCTTTATAAAGATGTGAAAATCTCTCCCTAGCAGACGTGTAGAGAAACAAAGCATTCTTTATAAAGGTGTGAAAACCTCTCCCTCGCAGACGTGTAGAGAAACAAAACATTTTTTATAAAGGTGTGAAAACCTCTCCCTAGCAGACGCGTTTTAAAAACCTAGAGGGAAAGCTCAAAAGAAAAATCCCAAAGAAGACAATATCTACTAGCAGTGGGCTTAGACTGGTACACGTGGTATAAGAGCTAGGTTCCACGCAGTGTGCCAACGAGGATGCTAAGCCCCAAAGGTGTGGGTGGACACTGAGCGGTGTGCCATCAAGGACATTGAGCCCCAAAGGGAGTGGACACTGAGCGGTGTTCCAACGAGAATGCTGGGCCTTAAAGGGAGTAGACACTGAGCAGTGTGCCAGCTAGGACGTTGAGCCCCTAAGGGGGTGGATTGTGAGATCTCACATCAATTAGAGAGAGGAACGAAACATTCTTTTAGAACCCAAGCCCTTTTTTCAGAACGGATTATAGCATCAAAACTGAGTACTTAGAGAGAAAAAACCACAGCCTTCTAATCATCTGACTTCTAAATGAATGAAAAAGCTGGAAATAGACTCAAATAAACACCTTATATATGGCCTCTAAATATCAATCATCAAGTTTCAGAAATGAAAATATTGATCACAATATTCATAGCAAGTCTATTTTACCTTCTCAAGGCCGCCACGAGCAGTGACCTCCACGAAAAGCCTATGCAGGTCCAGTTCTTTCCCACCAATAATGGGGATCCTGCATTCGGGAGGTAAAAGTGAAACATAAGAAGTGCATGAACTTGTTTGAAAAATCTTTCAAACAAGCAAAATCATACATTACTTCCATGTGAAGACCAGGAATACAAGGCAGGTAAAAGAGGAGATTTTGAAGAAAAGTACATGAACTTGGTTCCCATAATAGAATGGAGCTTCTCCAAGGACGCCATAAAGAGCTTGGGATCGGCTATGAGATCCTCATATGTCGTTTGCGGTGGCGGGTATGGAACAC